CAACCCCCCAAACTACCATGTACCCAACCTATCTCGATATATAAGCGGTAAGGTCGGATCCTAGAGGGAGGAGAATGATCCTAGACAGATCATTCCATTCCTCACCGATCCGCTCCTGCTCAGCACCGAGAGCAGGGCAACCTAGAGAGGGGCACCGAGAGCTCCTCCACCGCACCCATCGTCTTCCTCCTCTCTGACGAGGGAAAGGTTCCACCGGCGGCGAGGCAACCTAGTATTAGCACCGAGCTAACCCCCTACCAAATCTCTCTCTACCTCCTATAGACTCTGTTGTAACCCCCTGATTTTGGGTGCTCTTGAGTATAAGGATCATCAGCTGCTGGACATAGGGCATCGATCGGCCCAAACTAGGATAAACTGTTGCATCCTCTCTATGATTCTTGTGTTCTTGAGTCCACCCGAGCCACCGGAGACACGTACTCTGACACCGACTCGAACAACAATGCTTGCCGCGGTTCTGACCCCGCGACACCGCTGTAGTCAAAAGCTGCAAAATAAATGATGGAAAAGTAATGGCTGCTATGGTTAACAGTGTTAAACACACCATGATTATGAGTCAATGTAAGTTTAAGCAAGCCAAACCCATGTGGTCTTATTTGAAGGCACGCTATGTTCAAGAAAGTGGTGCCCTTCAACATACTCTCATGCAGCAACTTCATGTTATTGAATAGAGAGACATGTCCATTGATGAGTATTATTCTGTCTTCGATCGGTTGATGGGTTCTTTGACCTCCATGGTACCTTAGTGTATAGGTTAGAACTGTACAACACTTTCATTTATTGAGTAGTTTCTTACTTATAGATTTGTCATGGGAGTCAGGGTAGAGTTTGATTCTATTTGTACAAGGCTGCTTCATACTTCCTCAACTCTGACCATGGCACAGGCATTGTCTGACTTACTTGCTGAAGAGACACGTCTGTAGTCCTTGTCCTCTTCTATGTCTCACCCTCATAGTGTGTTGACTGCTTCTCAGAGGACCGGTGCATTCAAAGAACCCTGTAAGCATTCTGGCAGGACTAATCACAGTTTAGATACTTGTTTGCTAAGCATCCAGAGAATTTGGCTAAATGTCATGCCCGTCGTGCTGCTCATGGTCATGGTACTTCTTCCACTCCTCGAGGTTTAGGTCCTATTAGGTTAGTTTTTGTTGCTGCTTCCTCGACCGTGAGTGCTCCGTCGTCTTGGGTGCTTGATTCTGGAGCCTCCTTCATGTGACATCCGATCAGTCCCAGTTGGTTGCCTGCAAGCCGGTCACTAATGGTGCTTCTGTTCAGACAGCCGATGGTACATCTTGTTCTATCACTCATCAGGGTTCACTTTGCAATAATCATTTTTCTGTAGCCAATGTTTCTTTTGTACCTTAGTTGTCTATGAATCTTCTATCGGTTGGTCAAGTTACCGACCAGAATTGTTTTGTTGGTTTTGATGACTCATCTTGTTTTATTCAGGACCGTCGCAGCGGGAAAGTGATTGGGACTGGCCATCGCCATAAAAGGTGCTTCTAGCCTCTACGTTCTAGACACCCTACGTCTTCCTTTGCCTGTTGCATCTACAGCTCATGTCTTATCCGCTACATCGTCTTCAGCCTCTTCCTTCGCCTGTTGCATCTACATCTCATGTCTCATCCGCTGCATCGTCTTCAGCCTCTTCCTTCACCAAGTGGCTTCATCGTCTTGGTCATCTTTGTGGGTCTTGTTTGTCCTCCATGATAAATAAAGGTTGTTTAGGTCATACATCTATTGAGTCTAGCTTTCATTGTAAGGGTTGCAAGCTTGGCAAACAAATACAACTCACATATTTTCTAGTACTTCTCATTCTGCTAGACCTTTTGATCTTATTCATTCCGATGTATGGGGTCCTGCACCTTTTTCTACAAAGGGTGGCCACAAATATTATGTCATTTTTATTGATGATTATTCTCGCTATACATGGATTTATTTCATGAAACATCGTTCGTAGTTGTGTTCTATTTATCAGTCTTTTGTTCGCATGGTTCACACATAGTTTTCTACTCCCATTAAAATTCTTCGTTCGGACTCTGGGGGTGAATATATTGTCTGCTACTTTTCGCCAATTCTAAGGGTACACTTGCACAACTCTCTTGTCCAGGTGCTCATGCTCAAAATGGTGTTGCTGAACGGAAACATCACCATCTCATAGAGACAGCTCGCACCCTTTTGATTTCATCTTTTGTCCCTTATCGTTTTTGGGTGAAGCTATTTCCACTGCTGTCTATCTCATTAATAGGCAACCCTCATCCAAACTGTCAGACCAATGTCCTGGTGAAGTACTTTATGGTAATCCTCCTAGCTATGATCATCTTCGTGTTTTTGGATGCACATGCTATGTTTTGCTTGCCCCTCGTGAGCGTACTAAATTAACTGCACAGTCTGTTGAGTGTGTTTTTCTAGGGTATAGTCCTAAGCATAAATGTTATCGATGCTATAACCCTTCTTCCCATCGCATACACGTCTCTTGTTATGTTAATTTTGTTGAGGACCGTCCTTTCTTTTATAACCCTTCCATCAAGCCCTCGCATTCTCCCACAGAGTCCACCTCTTTTTATGTCTTCCTCCCATTTCATCTAGCGATGATGCCTCCACAACATCTGCTCCTATTTCCATCATGCCACCTTTACCTCCTACAATACCTACACCTACACCACCTCACTCTTTTTTAAAACCACCTATCACACGTGTCTTCAGTAGTTGTCCTAAAAACCCCACTCAGCTTCCCTCTAGTTCTACCACCTTGGCCAGTCCCGACGAGCCCGCTATTGATGATTCTAATAATACTATTGATGAGTCATCTATTGTCTCTGATGAGTTACAGGTATGGTTTTACTCATGTGAATGCTATTGTTGATGAGCCATCCACTTATCAGGAAGCTTCTCATATTCCAAAATGGCAGCTAGCTATGTCTGAGGAACTTGCTGCTCTTGATCGTCAAGGCACTTGGGATATTGTTCCATTGCCATCACACACGGTACCTATTACATCTAAGTGGGAAATTCAAAGTTAATACCAAGTCTAATGGCTCTATAGAGAGATATAAGGCTCATCTTGTTGCTAGAGGTTTTCAGCAGACTCAAGGTCCAGATTATGATGAGACATTTGCATCTGTTGCTCATATAACAACGGTTCGCACATTACTTGCAGTGGCTGCTTCTTCTTGGCATATATCTCAAATGGATTTCAAGAATGCTTTTCTTCACGGCGATTTGACTGAAGAAGTTTATATGCAACCACCTTTAGGTGTTGTTGCTCCTCCAGGATATGTTTGTTGTCTTCTCTGTGCTTTATATGGCCTTAAACAGGCTCCTCGTGCTTGGCATGAGCGTTTTGTATCTATGATACGGACTGCTGGTTTTTCACCTAGTGATCATGATCTAGCTTTATTTGTTCATTTCGTACTTTGCTTCTTCTATATGTTGATGATATGCTAATTACGGGTGATGATGAGGATCACATTTCTCATGTGAAGCAACAGCTTAGTGTTGAATTTCAGATGTCTAGTCTGGGTCCTCTCAGTTATTTCTTAGGCATTGAGGTCAAGCAATCTACCAACGGATACCGTCTTTCTCAGTCTAAGTACATACAAGATCTTATTGCTCGTTCAGGCATCACTGATAATCGAACTGCAACTACACCTATGGATCTTTACTTGCAGCTTCGTCTCACCAATGGGGTACCTCTTGAGGATCTCTCTCAATATCAGCATATTGTGGGCAGCCTTGTTCATCTCACTGTCATCAGGCCTGATATCATGTCGTCTATATTTTGAGTCAGTTTGTTTGTGCTCCAACTTCTGTTCATTTTGGACATTTACTTCGTGTGTTGCGATACTTACGGGGGAAATCATCTCAAAGTTTATTCTATGCGCATGATAGTCCGCTTCAGCTTCATGCTTACTCGGACTCCACTTGGGCGAGTGACCCAACAGATCGACGTTCCATCACTAGATATTGCATTCTTCTTGGTTCTTCTATTGCATGGAAGTCCAAGAAACATGAGTTGTATCTCGTTCTAGTACGGAGGCCGAACTTTGAGCCCTTGCTAGTACTACTGCAGAGATTGTATGGCTTCGGTGGTTGTTTGGCTGATTTTGGTATTGCTTGCAATGTTGCTACACCTCTTCTCTGTGATAATACTGGGGCCATACAAATTGCCAATAATCCTGCGAAGCATGAACTTACAAAGTATATTGGTGTGGATGTCTTCTTTACTCGGTCTCATTGTTATCAGAAAACTATTTCTCTCCGGTATGTGCCTTCAGAGTTGCAATTGACTGACTTTTTCACTAAAGCACAAACTCGAGAGCAGCATCAGCTTCACTTAATCAAACTCAATGCTTCAAATCCTCCGCTTCCACCTTGAGTTTGAAGGGGGGTGTTAAGTGTATGAAGGCCCTACTAGAGACCCATATGGCCCATGTGGCTCTCTATATATATATCATCTCCACCTGTGGAGTGGTTATCTTCTCAGATCCTCGAGGTCAGTAACAACATACAGACGGCAAAAAGACATATTGTACAACCCATAGACAAGAATCGTCTGTAAGTTATTTAATGCTTTGCATGTAGAGAAGATCAATCATGAATACCATTTTGTACGCCATTGTGTTGCTATTTGATAAATAGTGGATCAAACTTAAATAAAATAGATATGATGACATTTTTATTATTTTAAAAAAAATCATTAAATAAATGATATTATATATAGTTGAAATATTGTTTTTGAAAATTTAGTTGCAACATTTTTGGTGCATCCGGCACTTGAAAGCTGGGGTCAGTTTCTAACACAGCAGCTCATGCCTACTTGTTCTGAAGAAAGAAAAGAAAAAAGAAGGGTGCTACAGAGTGCAATGCAACTAGTGCCTACCGAAAATGTACTCACAAGTCAGAAGCAAATGGTCATACTCACAAGCAAACTGAATAGACACAAGCTGATGAAACAGGCAGACTGAAAAAGCGAAAGCCATTCAGTTCATGCAACTGCCTGTCTGCCATGCATACAGAACAACGGCATGGTTACAGAACTTGTAACAATACCAAATGACGCTAGCTGCACTATTACATGGCCATAGTGTATACTCACCAAAGCATGACACTGGACACTGACGAAAAAGAATATAGCACAACTAAATAAGAGCTGTATCAGAACTGCAGCACCATGGTCACAGCCTTATCAGAACTGCAACAAAATGCAGCCATATCAACTTCACACAGAAACTTAAAACAGGTCACGCATTTTACTGAAAGCAGATAGCTCTTTCAGAACATAGAAGCTCCAGAAGAATGTCATCCTCTGCACAGAACATAGAACCTCTTTCAGAACATTACCGGCATGCTATATTCAGGGAAAAAATTTAACAAAAATCACCGGCATGCTGTCTGCACAAAAAATTTGCAGGGTCTCACATCTCACCATTGAAAAGGCTTGTTCTGATAAGTCCATAACGACCTTGGCACCAAGCCACCAACTGCCTTCATCTGTAGATCCGCTCGACAATCGCCTCAGCCTCCTCCTTGCTCGCAGCGTCAAAGGCCTCCAGCCACAGCTCGAAGGTGTCTTCTCGGTTGTCGCCGCTGCCTTCTCCCCCGCCGTGCCGGCCGTGGCGCCACCGCCGCCGCCGCCGCCGTCAAGATCCATGGCGGAGGGTGAGGGAGGAGTGGAGACCTCCTCGACGAGGCGCCAGACGCGGTCGGAAAATAACGGACCAACCTCCAAACCACAACCGCGCGCACGGGATCCGGCTGTCGTCGAGTCGGAGAGATGAGCCGTACAACGCTGCTGGAGCCGCCTTCTCCGCCTCGGAGCACGAGCGTCTCCCGTCGTCTCGTGAGACGACGCGGCAGGGTGCTTTCTGCAAAAACTCCAGCGAAGAGACGAGCCGAGAAGCCCCGTTGTACGTGCCCAGGTACGTACAACGTGTCTGTATGATGTGTTTTTTTTAACAAAAAAAAAAGACCCCAGCGCGCTGTCTTAAATAAGCAGAGAGAGGAAAGTTGTGCATTCAATTATTGATCTCGGTCGAAATGGCTATAAAAATGGGTTGCCAGTGATTAGCACTTTTCCTTCTTGATCTCTCGTGATCAAATTAGTAGATAAAAGTAAAACACGTAGACACAAGAGATAGGAAAATTATTCTTTATTTATCTGAATATTGGTGATTACAACATAGAGCTCTCATGTATATGTGATCCTGCCAAGGCCTAAGAGTTTGGTAAGAGTCTACGTACAAACGGACTAAGATTATGATTTCTCCTTCTCCTTTCCTTCTTAGGATAGAGTCTGTATGTTTTACAACACTTCTCCTTGGACGGTTACCACGATATGCACATGCCTCATTAAAAACTCTATCTGAAAATCCAGTGAAAAAAAAGTTCTTGAAGAAAAGAGTACATCGCATTCATTAATTGCATTTTACATGCTGTCTTATAATAAACCTTGTATGAGAAACCTTCAAGTAAAAACTCACATAGGGAAAAAGAGTACAACATTTAACCTTCTTGGCCATGTATTCTTCAGGATATTCCATTTTTCATGATAGATATTGATATTCATGATCTACGCATAAACTTCAGTGTTTTAGCAAATATGATCTACTTGATCTTTATAATTCCAGTGGTTTACCTTCAAGGTAGAGTCAATAAAAATATGCTCCTCTCATAAAGCAAAATTTTGAACTTTATTGTCCAAACCACACTTTTCATAAATGTGTGCTTAATTAATGGTATGTAGTACCATAATACTATATTTTTTAAAAAGTTGGCTCATAATTCTTCTATGAATTATATGGGAAAAACAAGAGCAATATGCTCAATGCATAATAACCACTTATTAGTTGTGCAAAATAAATAAATTTTATCCTTCAAGGTAATAAATCCTTTTAGAGGATTATAGGGGTAAATAAGTTACAATATTCAATATATTCTAGTGCATCAAACTTATACTAGAGTTTGAGTACTTATAATTCTTTCTTAGTGGATTTTGAAATTATATGTTCTACAAATCTTCAGGATTTTAATTGTATCACTAAATGATCCGGTCTTCCATTTAGTATTTAGGGGATAATTCAATTACCAAAGTCACCATTATTCTTATACCTTCTATGGTATTTAGAGGATATCATCACTTCATTACTAGCCTTTCAATATGGACTTTCTCAGTGTTTGTAGGACACCTTCATGGTATTTAAGATTCCTCATTTCCTTTCTCTCGGGTATCTATTCACTTCAGGAATTAATGGTGTTTATTTAAAAATCGATCGGTAAATCCTTTATGGATTAACTCCTTCAAGGACTTTCTCATTTTTGATAAATAATATTTCTCTTCTATGAGATATATTCTCTACTACATGAGAGATTATTATGTGATATACACAATGATATAGTGTTATTCACTATCAAGTCATTCGATGACTCTTCCTTCTAGGATATGCTCTTCTTGATACTTCAATATTCATCATGAATATATTCTACCTTAGACTTCTTAGTAATTGTATAAGATTTAATTTTCATATGTTGCGATTTATATTCTTTAGGAATTATATGGATTTTTATAATCCACTTATTCACTTTATATTCCATAATCATTCAATTCATTTGTCAGAGATATAGCAGAATATTTATTTCTTTTTAGTAGGAGATTCAACCTCAATTGCTTTCTTTATTAACCCGATATAATCGCTGCAGGTGACTTTGTCATGGACTTTGTTTTCTGGATCCGGGTTCTCATAAGAGAAACATTTGTAATTATAGAGATAGCGTTGTCGACAACTATTATTTTCTCCCAATATTCTCATAATATGATATTATTCTGTCTCTTTGTTATTTCCAAACAAGTGATGATTTGTTGTTCTGCATACCGAACACTAATGATGCGCGCACTTAGTGTGTTGGATTTCATCTTCGTGATGATCCTCTTCATGAGGTGTTTAACCTTCTTCATGAGGTGTTCTCTTCATGAAAATGGAGGAGTTTGTTCTTATTTCATTTGACAAGTATACATTAAACTAGAATCTATAGGCGCCCCCTTAAATTTTAGCTTGATAGTATATAATATTTAGTTTACTACTAGTAGAGATAACTTTTGGTTTATAACTTCAAGTTACTCCTCTTATTTTTCAAAAATATCTGGCATATGCTCCGCTTCATGCTTCACAAGAGCATTAGTCAAACTATTGTTTGACTTAGTGCGTGATATTGTTTCTACTTCAAGCTCCGAGAAATATTTTCTTTAGATCATTTTTCTTCTGTGGAAATAATATTTGACATTCAAAATAGGCTTTCTCTCCCCCTAATGTCAATATTAGATCTTTAATAGCATACTTCAAAAGATATCTCCAATGATGAGCTTAAAATAATTCAAATTCATGTATCTCCAACTACAAGTGGAGGCCCATTCATGTATGCTATGATAGAGATTTATAGGAAATATTAACGCACATATTTAAACATGGGGGTTATTATTCATTAATGCAGTGAGCTAGAATACATAAAGTGCACTTAAGAATGTTCAACATTCCTATAAACTCAGGGATGTTCTCCCTCTGATTTGCACATATCATAGTTTAGAAAACTATTTCATTGTCTAGCTTCTTTATTGTTTAGCCAAAATAATTGACCCAAGTACTCATACAAAAAAAATGGACCATATACTTCAAAAATATAGAATACGCAACATTCAAACTCACATGAAATTTCTTTTAGACTTTCTAATTGCTATTAATGTAAAATTCCCCAAATGTCTTTTCTTCATAAATCCCAGTTCATCTAAGTGTGTTATCCACCATCTTAATTCCACAATTATTCATCCCATCAATTGGATCACTTCTCTATTTAGCTAATTTCAGATTAGCCAACTCCTGATCTTAGGCTACTTGGTCGTAGACCAATATATCACTTATGCATGCAACGCATTGAAAGTAAAATATTCCTTAGTTCAATGAGAATTAGCGTGCTAGCTAGCCAATTTAATTATGAGGGGAAAAGGTAGTAGCTACAAGTTATGAATATAGCTTCTATGCTAATATTCATGCAGGAATGGAGATTGTTGCAGCTCGACAAGAGTGCACAACATAGTGATACACATTCATGTGTAACGTGGAATGTTGATATCCAATTCAATGTAAAGATAACAACAAAATGCAAAGCTACAACCTTACTTGCAATCAATGCAATGTAGTGAAAGTTAACTCGGCCGGAAGGGACGCGACTAGGACTTCAAGTCCTGATACATGCACTTAAAGATAGATTTAGGAAGGCTATGCCTATTAAATATATATTACCCACATTTTCTTATGCCTTTACCCAAAAATTCCTCCCTCTCATGCCATAGTTACTTCAAGTAGTAATATGCTTTATGCATCATCTAAGAATAATCATTTCTAATATTTCATACAATCCAATCATACTTCTAGTATTCATTGGTTGTGGCATGAAATTCACATATCCAGTATACTATTCAGTGTATAACAACAGATTTAGGGTAGGACATGAACTTCTAGTTTCTGGGCTAAAGTATCAAATACTTAGTTTATGGATCATACTATTTCTTGGCTAAATTGGTCCTTTTAAGATCAATTCACATGCCAGTACAATCCAATTGTTTATGTGCTTTTAGGAAATTCAATTTCCCTTCTACCTATATGGTAGTAGTGCACAAAGAACTATAACTTTTATGGTTAACTGAGGCTTTTTTGTGGATAAAATTGATGCAAAACTTTTAGATAGGCAAAAATAGACAATTATTTATATGTAAAACATATAAATCTATATTCCATACAAGATTAACACATATTACAGCAAGTAAGAATTGCATCTAATAATATTAAATGTTTTATATTAGTCTTCAAGGTAATAAAATAACCATTAACTCTTCTACAAGTTTATAAAATCTACTTAATTCAACTGGAATGAAAACTTAAAGCATCGCCGCCACTAATACTTTAGGATAGTAATTCCAAAGACAAAACAAGTCTGTAAGCACATGATTTAGGTTCTTCTTCAAGAAAACTGAAAGGTCCTTGTTGGTTTTGGTAATTGAGTGACAACCTAGGAGAACTAATTGTGTTTATGTGAGATACACAGGTGATTAGTCCACAGGTACATGTGTATGAGCAACATATGCCATGGAGGTGAAAATGGCTTAGAAATGTTGCAAAGCTCACACATGTGATGATGAAGGAGCTTATTGCACATGAGACATGACATTGAGTCATGTGATCAAGGTGGAGAAGATCAAGACAAGACTTGGCTTGATGGACCGGTTGCAAGCGTGAAGGGCAAGTCAAAGGCTTTGGAGTGATGGACCGCGTGGCGGTGAAGCTTGAGCAAGACTTGGCGCCGATGGACGATAGCAATGGTGATGAGCAAGTAGAGTCAAGATCGATGAACCAATATGATCATGTGATGATATGAAGTGGATCATATCATTGTTGATCTTGTTGGTGCATGTGTTGCATCGACATTGAAGGAAATGGAATGGAATGCGCAAGGCAAAGGTATAACCTAGGGCATTTCATTTCACCGGTCATAGGTGTGTAGAGAAGTTTATGACCGGGTTTAGGATAGATGGCCGTACTATCAAGAGGGGCAAACTTGTTTGCATATCGGTCATCTAGTGCCACTCGAGTGATCTAACTTTGC